GGCTCTGCACTGTGTTTACCTGTAAAAAGTTCTTTCATTTTATTTTTTGTGTGTGTGGTGGCCAGAGGCTGACATTGCATATTATGCTGGTTAGCTTTAACAGTCAATTTGATAACCTAGACTCACCTGGGAAGAGAGTCTCAGTGAAGAATTATCTGGATTGGGTTAGCCTGTGGGCATGCCTGTGAGGGCCTTTCTTAACTGAGTTAAGTGAGGTGGGAAAACCCACCCTGAATGTGGACAGCACCATTTCATGGGCTGGGCCCTGAACTATGTAAGAGTGAAGGAAACCAACAGTCACAAGCACAAGCACACAAGCAAGCATGAGTGCATTTTCTCTCTGCTCTCAGCTGTGTACGTGATGGTTTAAGCCCCTGCTTTGACTTCCTTACAAGAATGACTGGAACCTGCACTTGTAAGCCAAATAGACCCTTTCTTCCTTGAATTGCTTTTTGTCCAGATATTTTATGACAGCAACATGACGGAAACTAGCACAGGTGTCTTCCTCCAGGGTTTTCCGTGATTGTTTTCCACCTTAATTGGCTGGACTATCTGGCCAGCAAGCTCCAGCGATCCTCCTTTCTCCAAAACACCCCCCCACCCCGCCATCCCACCACCTCATTCTGGGATTACAGACACGTGATGCCATGGCCAGCTTTTACATGGTTGCTGGGGATCTGAACTCAGATCCTCTGTTTGCACAACAATCACTTTACCCACAGAACCATCTCCCCAGGCCCTGTGATAAGTTCTTAATATAGTAATTTACATTTATTATTACTTGTCAGCTTGGCTCTAACAGCTCCCTCTTAAAACCCGAATGGTATAGATGATGGACTGTGACCTGGAAGCATAAGACAAATAAACTGTTTCCTTCCATAAGTTTCTTTTTGTCAGAGTGTTTTATCACAGCAACAGAAAGGAAACTGGAACACTACCCAAGTTCCTTGAATGAAAGCCCTATTCCACTCAAAGTCCCAGAGTGTCAGAGTGGGGAATGTCAGGAGCTTGGCCAGTCACATTTACTCCAATGAATGTTCTTGGCCTCCACAGAGCAAAGGAAAGCTGGTGCTGGATACGGCTAGATGCAGGCTACTGTGTCACAAAGAATGTGAGCTGTAGGGCCAAGGGTGAGCTAGCCTCAGGCTCTGAGACAAGTGTCTGGGACCTTTGCCTTGTTGCAGCAGCACATCACACATCCACTTTTGTTTCCAATCCCCTCATCACTCAATCCTCCAGAAAGGACTGTCCATGAGGACATGGTGCCTCATGGCATGCTCAGTGAGAGCTGCGGGAGAATTTACTTACCTTTACATGCAAATGTCTTCTGCTGGTCTAGTCACCTGGCTTGGCTACTTGAGAATTCTGTGACTGACTATATGAAAACTCGAAATATAGTCTTGAAAAATCCAAAGGGTTTTAGTTCTGAGCACTCAAAGAACATAATGTAGCCAGTTCTCCCTTCTTCTTGGGAGTTTCAAGGTTACCAGCAGAACTGACAAGCAACTCTGAAAATCCTTAGGAAAATGTAAAGTACACAAGCTAGGCACATATCAGTGGGCAAAAGACCAGTAAAAAAGAAAGAAGGTCCACTTGGCTCTGAGACACCTCCAACATTTGAGTGACTTCAATTTTCTGTTTTGATCATGGGGTAAAAAAAATCTCTCTATAGTACTTAGATGTTCACATGAACATCTCATAGAATATTGTATGTTGTACAGGAGACTATTCTTATAGACATCAGCAGACAAGGCAATGTAGTGGTTAGTGCAGCTGATAATAGTTAAGGAGGGGGTTGGATGTGGCTGTGCTTTGCATGTATGAGGCCCTGGATTTAATCCTCAGCACCAAAAACGAAGAGCAGGAGGACAGACAGGAGTGCGTGGTTTGCTGAGCCCATGCTAAGATCAGAGAGTGTTGTGCTGTTGGTATAAAATGCTAGGGGACTTGCTTCTGTCATTTCAGCAAGGCCCACAGACAAGGACACAGCACAGAGCACACACAGAATATCAAGAGGACTGCAACTAACTGAACGGCAACTCAGGCAGGACTGGTTCTACATTCAACATTCACGCGGCTTCAGTTTCCGGCCCATGTGACCCAAGAGGCCAGCAATGCCAGAAACCATGACTGCATTGCACAGTGCTTCCTGAGACCCCACCCTGTGGGCAGTGGCCTTTTCCACTCTGGGCTCAGATGTGTCACAGGCCGTGGGCTTGCTGCCCTGCTTTTTAAGCCACGTATGGAGAGACTGTCCCTTTGCCTACCTGTCTTCTCCCCTGTTTTCCTGATCCTCTTAATCTAGCCCATGTGTGCTTTCCTGTGTGGTGACTTTCCTGAGTTCCATGCCTTTATCCTTTCCAGAAGTTCAGGGAGAGGTGGCATCTTCATACCTCATTTCCTGGGAGTTTAAATCACCTCCCTAAAATCAGTAGTCAAATCGCTGAGCAAAGAGATTCTGTTGAGATTGACATCAGTTTCCCCAAATTCACCTACAGAGTTAACAACTATTTCAGACTATGGAATTGTTCTTATAGTCCACAAATATTTCCTGAATACGTATATTGTATTTTGAGCAGGGTACTACTAGGTTCTGGGGACACAGCAGTGAGCAGATGAGCAGAAATCCTCATCTCATATTGTAAGGAGATCACAGGAGGCAACTTAAGTAGCCAAATAAAAAGTACATATAGGATGTCAGCTTGGTAACAAGGTGGAATGTGAACAGGAAAGAGGGATAAGGAGTGTTGGATAGAGGCTGGTCATGGAAGGTCTCACTGATAAGGTGACATTTGAGTGCACACCTGACTGAAGAGGTCTTGTAGATGTCTTGGGGAAGGGCAGTCCAGGTAGGAGGAGATGAAGGGAAAATTTCTGGAGGTGGCAGACCATCTTCAAACAGCAAGGAGGCTGGGGCAGAGGACAGAGGGTGAGAGGAGGTGGAGACAAGGTCAGAGAGTGACAGGTGACAGACTCTGGGGACAGTAGAGCTTCTGGAAGAAGTGGGGGGAGGTAGGAAGAAAACCACTGGAAGGTTTTACACAGAGTGTGTCAGGCCAACTTACAATCTTGAAGGATTGTTTTGTTGCTGGGACAGGCTGGACTGCAGAAGACCAGGGAAAAGACAGGGACACCAGTAAGGGGGGTATGGGCATAACTGAGTGGCAGATGAAGTGCTTAGAACAGGGCCTGAGAAGCAGTGAGCAGTGCTAACATTGTGTATTTGTCATGAAGGGGGACATGTGGGGTTTGTTGACATACTGGATGTGAAATATAGGAAAAAGAGACATTCAGGATGACCCAAGGCTTTTGATCTGGGCTGCCGAAGAATAGAGTTTGCTAAGATACAGAAGGCTATGCTGAAAGCAGGCTTGGAAGGTGCTCCATTTTCAAGGTGGTTTTCTCCACTCCTGGAAACTCATAGTGGTGTTTAATCTCCACAGTGTTTAATCTGACTATGGTGTTTAGAGATGGGGCTTTTGGTGTGTGAATGAGATTAGGTAAAGTCACCAGGTTGGATTCTGAATTCTGACTGAATTCTGGTATCTACATAGGAAGAGAAACAAAGCCTAGTGAAACACACACACACACACACCCATGCACACAGGCAATACACACACACGTACGCATGTCTGCATACACACATGCACACACACGTATACACATGCACACACAGAGCCTATTTCTTGCCATATGGTGACCTGTGCTGCCTTGGGACACTGCCAGCAAGAAGGCTGTCCCCAGATGAGACCTAGACCTCTGATCAGAACTGTAAGTCAAAAGAGATGAATTCTATTTATAATCTACCCAGTCAGTAGTATTGTGTTCTTAGCAAGAACAAAAAGGGAGGGGACTACTGGGAGTTTACGATAAAATTGAGATATCTCTTAGGTACTGTGCTGGACAGCTTTAGTTGTCAACTTGACACACCTGGGTAGAGGGTGTGTCAATTTAGGAATTGTCTCCATTGGACTGGCCTGTGGACATGTCTGTAGGGCATTTTCTTGATTGTTGAGTGATGTAGAAGGGCCCAGCCCACTGTGGGTGGTGCCATCTCTGGGTAGGTAATCCTGTATTATATAAGAAAGTAGGCTGAGCATGAGTTAGAGGAGCAAGCCAGTAAGTAGATATTCTCTATGGCCTGTGCTTCAGCTCCTGCCTCCAGGTTCCTGCCCTGAGTTCCTACTTTGATGAACTATGACCCGGGAGATGTAAGTCAAATAAACCCTGTCCTCCCCAAGTTGGTATTGGTCAGAGTGTTTTGTCACAGCAATTGACGGACAGGCACTGAGGTAGTTGGTTAGCAAAGTCTGGGATTCTTGGGAGGGATTAGGCTGGAGAGAAACAGCATAGACTAGATTTTGATCCATGAGTCTGGGTGGGACCCCAGGGAAAGGGTGTAGAATAAAGGAAATCCTGGCCCTTTAGGAGTTGGGAAGATGAGGATGAAGATCAATTAGAAAGGGAAATTAGGAGAACATCCTCAGAGCCAAGGAGAATGTTTCAAGCAGGCAGGTAGCAATAACCACACGTGGCTTACCAAGTGTTCCTTGAGACAAGGTCAGCCACAGTTGACTAGGATTAGGTAGTCACATATTTTGTATATGAACTTGAGTTTCAACCTCATTGTGCATGTCTTGTGCACTGATACTTAATCCTTGGGTGTCAGCATCTTTTTGAGAATCTTCACGAATGCATTCACATACACATACAAGGCCACAGATAGTCCTTGGGGAAGAGTTCCCAAAGGAAGTGAGATCTGTCCCGGGAGATGATTTACAACCCTTCCTCATCCCTACTGAGGTCGTATGGCATCAACCAGACTGGCTCAGTGTAGAAATTCAGGTCTTTTAGTTTTGTGGGCTTCCCTTGATAGTCTCCAAAGTGTAGAAGGGGCTAAGCTTTCTAGGCCGTCTGAGCAGCTGTCAGGGTGAGTGGAAGACAAAACTGAATAGGAACTCAAGACTGAAAGCAACAGGGAAAATGAATGGAGGACTCACCACCATCTCCTGGACCTGAAACATCTCTGCACCACCTGGTGACAGTCGACTGGGGAAGGAGATACTGACGGCTGACCCAGGGAGAGTACTCGGGCCCATGTTGTAGACCTATGGGGTGAAACACACACAGCAAGAGTCAGTGGACATAACAGACCTTCATTTCATGTCACACAATATGTTCCTTAAGTCTTTGAATCATACACAGAAGCCTTAGGTCTGGACCTAGGATGTGACTTTAAATGAAATGAAATTCTAAGGAGTGGGCTACTCTAAGAAAAGAGAAGTCCTTCCAACAATCTCAAACCTTCAAATGATCCTTTCAGCATTTTCTTGTCCTCATCTTACTAAAAATGACATTTAATTTTACCTGGAAATGCACTTATAGACTATAGTTGGTGGGAACTGAGATGTTACAATTGAGTTCAGGGTTCTCAAAATGTTCCAACAACATCATATGATCTAAAGGGCATGCTCAAACACAGATGTGTGGTGCGGGGAGGGCCACATTCAGAGTTTCTGAAGCAGCAGGTTTGTGTGGGGCCGGTGCATTTGGATTTCCAAGTTCCCAGGAGATACTGCCAGTCATTTCTGTGACCAATGACCTTGTCCAAACTCCTTTCTTGAGGTAGTGAAGATCATCAAAGACCGAGAGGGTTGTCCTAAAATGAAGTGATCTGATTCACAGAGTATATGCTATTTATCCAGCTCATTCTATTGGTTAGTATTGTTTAATGTCATCTGCACTTCTCTTTTCTAGCTCAGTATTTGGTCCTGTAAGACTTCACCCCTCTTCCCTTCTCTACTGTCTTCTTCATTTTCATATCTAGAAGCCAGTCATCTCCCAAGGAGGTACAAAGACACCAACAGGGAGGGAGTAGAGGCTGGAAATTAAACTCAGGGTTAAAATGGAGTAAGAGGACTTTAAAGGATGGGTATTCTTACAGGGACAGAAAAGAGATTAGTGGTTTCCCAGATGGGATAGACTAGATCATCTTAGAATACTCAGGTGGGTACATTATAATGATCACAAGAGGGGCTGGAGACATGGCTCAGTGGTTAAGAGCACTTGCTGTTCTTGCAAAGGACCTGAGTTTGGTTCCTAGCAGCCACATTGGCTCGCTCATAACAGCCTATAACTCCAGTTCCAGGGGATCTGATGCCCTCTTCTGCCCTTCATAGGCACCTATGTGCACATGTGTATGTATAATCACATACACATACATTTTAAAAATAGGATCATAAGGGCCTTTTAATAGGGGAGAGGGAGGCAGAAAAGTCAGAATTGAAAACACTGTAAGAAAGATTCAGCTGGCCCCTGCTGGTGGAGGGGACCATGAGCCACAGAACTCATACAGCCTCCAGAGGCTGGAAAAGGCAGGAAACAAATCCTCCCAAGTACCCCTCAGCTACTCATTCTGCAACCCATGGATCAAGAAGTGATTTTGACATACAAGTCCTATTATCTAAGAAATAGGTTTCAGTGGACTGAAGAGATAGCTTAGCAGTTAAGAGCACTGGCTGTTTTGGCAGAAGACCCGGGTTCAAATCCCAGCACACACATGGCAGCTAAGAACTGTCTGTCTAGTTCCAGGGGATCCAACACCCTCTTCTGTCCTTTGCAGGCACTGCACAACATGGGTGCATTTACATACTTGTGGACATAACACTCATAGACAAAACTAAAAAATAAAAATAAAAAAGGAAATAGATTTCAGAAGGGTCCAAAACTTCCATGGAGGAAGTGTAGTGGGAATAGCAAAAACACTAGGTGCAGAGCCTGAACATATGACCAAACTGCCAATCTTTAAAAAGCCATCTGGGTGCTGGGAGCCAAACCCATGTCCTCTGCAAAAGCAGCCAGTGCTCTTAACCACTGAGTTATCCCCTCAGCCCCTATTCTTACATATTTTTCAAGAGTTTTTCACAAAAAAAAATAAATTTATTATTTTTATTTTATGTGTATGAGTGTATTGCCTGCATGTATAGACATACACTTGTGTTGTGCAGTGCCTGTGGAGGTCAGAAGAGGGTGTCGGATCCTCTGAAACTGGAGTTACAGATGGTTGTTACCCACCCATACCTAAGTGTATGTGGGGATATGTGCAGGTGAGTGCAGTGCCCATGGAGGTCAGGAGAGGACGTTGAATCTCCTGGAGCTGGAGTTACAGGCAGTTGTGAGCCTCTTGATGTGGGTGCTGGGAACAGAACTCAGCCTCTTGCAGGAGCAGCATGCACTCCTAACTGTTGAGCATCTCACCAGTCCCAGCTATAGACTTTTTTTTTGAGGTGATAGAAATGTTCTAAATTTAGGTTATGAGAATGGAAGCACAATTCTGCGAACATACAAAATAATCATCGAATCACATACTTTAAATAGGGACACTTTAAGAGCTGTTATTAAAGATTTTTTTAATTGCATGAAGGATATGACTTTGTTTTGTTTAGTTTTGTTTTTAGACAGGATCTCTCACTAGGGAGCTTAAGCTGCCCTGGAATTCACTAATTAGACCAAGCTGGCCTGGAACTTGCAATCTTATTGCCTCTGCCTTCTGAGGGCTAGGATTACAGGCATGCACCACAATGCTGGGCTGCAATTTTAATTTGCCAATTAAAAGAAAAAGATGACTAGGAGATGAGTGGGGGAGAGGAAGAAATGAACCCTGTTTTTAGCCTGGAGATGAGAAGCAAAATTCAGGGATTCACAGTGTCTCTAAAGTCGAGGTCAGCAAGGCAGAGCCAACAAACAACCAACCAACCAGACTGGAAATCCAATCAAGTATTTACCTCTCACCACATGTATGAGAGCTACATAGCCAGTTTTTCCCTAGAGAGCCACGTCTTTATTACTTTTTTTTTTTTTACAGTAGTTGGTTCTGCTTCAACGACTAGATAAAAGAAATAATAGATTGGATGTTTCCAACTCTCGATTCTCAAAGACCAACATTCACCAAAAACAACAGCCATAAGACACAAGGAAAATGAAAGTGTATCCAAGTACAACTGAAATAACTAATTTCAAGTGAATCTCAAACATTCAGAATTGCAGATTCCTTCTGACATGCTTGGGAATCCCTGCGGAAAGCACAGATCGGGTAAGCGCAGGAGAAAAGGACTCTCCTCCACACAACTCGGTGAGAACCAGCACACAGTACTAGCTCTACTTTTAAGAGTATCTTCCCAGAACTTAACAAGCAGGGAGGCAGGAGAGTCACAAGTTCTAGGCCAGCTTGGGCCACACAGTGGGACCTGGTCTCAAAAACAACAGCTTAGACAAGCCAACATCTTAACATTTGAGCTGGTATGAAGGTTCATGAGTGACATCTGTGACATATTTCTCCATTATTTTTCAGGTGGGAAAATGCATTCTGATTCCTGATGGAAAACAACAAAACCAAACAACAAAAACTCAGTGCTCTCAAGTCAATGAAGTTCTGCATCTGTTGAAAAAGCCATGGCAAAGTACAGAAAACAGACCCAAGAATAATGTTTCTGCCTTCTTCCCACCAGATTCGCAGTGGAGTCTTTAAACAATGATGCATCTTCTTGAATAACAGATCTAGTTTTTAATAAAAGACACAGACAGAGTCACTGATCAGAGAGGCCTTATCTCTGCTTCATGAATGATGATGCTGGAATAAGAAAACACAAAAGCGTTTTCTCTACATTCCTGACCCCTCCTCCCCTGTCCTGCCTCCTGGCCATTATCACCATCAATCTGGTGAGTGAGTGTCCTGTAGGACAACCACAATGACAATGATTGTACCAGAAAATTGAGTTGTCAGAGATTGCTTCAGGAAATGTTAGCTTTGCTACCAGAAGAGGGTCTCCTTCCAATCTACAGCTCGCACTGACAAACTTTCAGATTGAGCTTTGCTCCCTCACACTTGGACTGATGGCTGACCGCTTCCTGAGGCCACAGCTCACAGTTCACTGGAGGTTTATCTAAGGGCCATGCCAATCACTCATTCCCTAGGGCTACAGTCTCCAGCTGGGGTCTTGTTTCAGATCAGATGTGAAGAAAGCTATGCACCTGAACACAAAGCTTTAAGCTTCCTATAAAAATACCTCAGAGAACCAACTGGAAGAATATGCTGTACGCAATCATCATCATCATCATCATTTTCTTCTTCTTCTTCTTCTTCTTCTTCTTCTTCTTCTTCTTCTTCTTCTTCTTCTTCTTTTTCTTCTTCTCTCTCTCTCTCTCGGCAGTAACTTTTAGTACTTTTAGTATATCTAGAATTTTGTATATCTAGTATTCTTGCCTTTTTCAATATTCAGCTTTTCTTCATTCCACAGTCTGGGTGATTTGAAACTTTCTAAATAATTCTCTTGACTGCATCTTTGATTTCAAGAGAAGAAAGGGTATAAATCACAAGAGTTAAATAAATCTACCTGGCATTTATCTGTTTTCTAACCAATTGCAAAAGCAAAGGGAAGAAATTAATGGGCCCTGAGAAGCGACTCTGAAGCACGGAGGCGTGACCGAGGCTGTCACTCTGCAGTCTCCAAAGCAAGCCCTGACCCCATCTTCCTGTTCTCCCCTATAAATCAAGAGCAGGCTGTGACAGCTGGGCTTAGTCTGTCAGGGATGCATCCTCTCTGAGCTGGAGCCATGTGTTACCTACCATGGTTTTGGTGATCTCCCGGGTGAGCCAACACTCTGGAGAGAGGAAGCCTATTGTCTGTGAGAGTCCTCAAAGCTTAAGTCTCATCCTCTGAGCTCTCACCCCATCATTATCACCCCCTAAATCTACTTAGGAGAAACTACAGGCAGGAAAAAGCATAGTTATTTTGTCACAGCAGTAAATATCATAGAGAGAAACCATCCTCTCTAGGGCGGGTGAGTGGAAATGCAGGGCAAAGCTCTGGGAGACAGAACCTGAGAGTGCGAGATGTGGTCTTCACTGTGCAAGACGGGCCATTTTTCTTGACTTCATCTTTGCTGTATGGAGTCTTATAGTTAATGCCTGACCAGTCCTTGCCCCAGACCTGCCTCACTCAGTTCTGGGAGCTTTAGCACATCCTTTCTCACTTGAGCCCACATTACTCTGTGCTTCCTCCCTAAAGGGCATATAGACTAGACGATGCTGAGGTCCCTCTAGTGTCACACCCACATACTCACAGTATGTTAAAAAGCTGCCCTTTGAGTTCATGTTTTGAAAGCAAAGCCCAATAAACTATGCCTACAGACTAAACTTGGTTCAGTGTCTGTTGCTGTACAGTCTGCAAGATAAGAATAGAGATGCCATTAAATTACCGGCAGGAAAAAAAAAATCAAAAATCAAAGAGTAACATCCCATGACAGGTAAAAGTTATGTGCAAGAGGAATCTCAGTATCCATAGTTGAGTGTCCATAGCAACTTTACCTCTCCTTGCTGGAACCCCAGGGCTCAATAGGTTCCATAGAGACTGTATCCAACAAGGCCTCAAAGAGTTACTTTCTAGCTGTTTTCAGAAAAAAGTCTGCAGTCTCTAAGTAAGAGGATAGGACAACTTCCTTCTGTCCACAGTCCTCAACAGTGGACTTATGGAAATGGTACCTAGGTAGCTAAGATGAGCCAGTCCTGGCTGGCCCAGTGAGGGACTTGTGAACTGGTCTCATGGTACATGGACTCATGTAGCTTTGCCCTTGGAACACTACTTCTGAAAGGCTGGTTCCCAGGGAAGTGAGCTCTAGCTGAGTCAGCATGAAAACCATAGGGGGGAAGGGATGAAGACTGGGAATAATTTCTCCTCAAAACAAAAGCTGGCCCTTTTACCACGGGACACACCCTGGGGTGGGTACCTGAAGGGTGATGTTGAGGGGTTGGAAGTGACACTCCTGATCATCCAGCTGAATGAAGTTGGATGCATCCACAGACTCGCCGTACACGAAGGAGGTTGGGGACACGATTCTGAAAGAGGAAAGCATGAAGGCTGTCATCCAACCCAAGGCCAGGCACCTAGTCACTGCTGGGCTGAGAACCCACACACCTACCACTATTTAATCCTCTGTCTCCCACTGTATGCTTCCCCGCTGAATGGGTGCTTCTGTCTCCCATGAATGTACACAGCCAGCCTCTGCCTTTTCTAAATTTTTAACACGTCTTCTAGCCTCAGGTCATATTAATATGCTACATAAACATTATGCACTGAGATAATTCTTTGTATGTATGTTCATGTGTATACATGTATGTGTAGAGGTCAGAGGGCAATATCTGCTGTCTTTATCACTCTCCACCTTATTATATAAATTTATTTTTATTTTATGTGTATGAGTATTTTGCCTGTATGTAAGTGCATCCATGCATGCAGTGCCTATGGAGGCCAGAAGAGGGCATTGGATCCCTTGGAACTGGAGTTATGGACAGGTGTTAGCTACCATGGGTGCTGGGAACTGAAATTGGGGCCTTTACAAGAGCAGCCAGTGCTGTTAACCACTGAACCATCTCTCCAGCTCCTCCACCTTATTTTTTTGAGACAGGGACTCTCTCTGAGCCTGAAGTTCACCTATTTGGCTAGAGTGGCTAGCCAGCCAGTCCTAGGGATCTGTCTGTCTCCCTCCATTTTCCTCTGCTGAGGTCACAAATGCTCACAGTCTCCCCTGGCTGCTTATGTGGGTGCTGGAGACCTGAACTCAGGTCTTTGTGATTGTGCTTCAAGAACCTTACTGACTGAACCACCTCCCCAGCCTCTCCCAAATTATATTTCTAAAATAAAGCTTTAAAAATCAAAGCTGTGGAAGCTTTTAGACAAAAAACTTTGATTATAAAATTATACATTTTTTTAGCATTTGAAAGTCATTTTTGTGGAGGATGCTGATAACAAACTCTTAAGAGTTTGTTAAATAAATAAACAAATAAATTATGTACTTGGCATCGTAAACTCCACCCTATAACAAAGTCATTAAAAAAAAAACTTTCTTTACATCCATCAGACTTCCATGATTATTAGAAATTAGGTATTTGAAAGTTAAGTAAATTCAATGACATTTTAGACATGGTCATTTAAGATGACTAAGGATTGGAACTTAGTTGACAGCATCACTTTCAACACCGCCACTGTGAACAAACCTGACATCTGCACACAGAGTTCAGGCTGACATCAACTCCATACACAATGGATAGATACTAAGTGCTCAAAGGACTTACACCCCTCTACACAACAGTGTGAGACTTTTGGGAGCCAAGTCCAAGAAGACAGCCACCCCTCTATTCTGAATGTAAACCTTTTATTTCAGTAACACAGTGAATTCAAACCACTGGCCAAAATGACAAGAATTGGTTCATTTAATCTCACCCCGTTTCAGGTCCCTGGAAAGATCAGAGGTTGGCTCATTTGTTTAACTGATGGTTTCATCAGGGGCTGTTAACACTTCACATCAAGGTTTCCTAAGGCCTGACAACATGATCAAGTGTGTGTGGGAGGTGTTTTCACTTTATCCCCAAGGATAGGACTTGGTTCTGGGTATTTCGTACTATCCCTTAGACAGGACGAATAAATAAACCATATGGTTAAAAATAGAGCTGTGAAGAGAGGCAAATATATGCTACTTGGCAAATATATCCCACCAGTGCCCAGTGTCCAGAAGCCATGATGTGAAGCGCAGAGCAGGAATGCAGCTCACTCCACTGGCTCCCGGCAGAGCTGAGCTACTACAAGGGGCAGCTCCTCCCTCCATGGAGCAACATTTCCCTTCTGGTCAAAGGCTGAAACTCAGAAGCACTGAAAACTGAAAAATGAGAAACTGAACTTCCAGAAAGTTCAGCTTGCATTTGGGTCAAGGGTTTAGTGGGTCCCTGTTTGATCTAAACCAATTATGACAATTATGAACACTATTTGTTGAAGCTAGGAATGAGAACGGAGTTCTTGTTTTTCTAAGCTTTAGTGTTGGCTGAAAACTGACTCAGGCTGTTTCAGGTCCCTCACAGACCACAGCCAACAGTCCCGCCTTTCAGCAACTCCAGCAGCACCGAGTGGCTGTGAACTCACCTGGACAGTTTGGTATTGTAGTTGTGAGGGTTCCCCGCTTGTTACAAATGTGAGGCAGAGCCGTTTCTGGCATTGCACAAGGAGGTAACAGAAACACACAAAGCCAGAGCTGACTCTGAAGTCTAGTACAAAGGCAGCCATACCATGAGCCATCCCGAGGGCTCCAGACACACCAGGCTGCAGCCTCTGACCCCACAGTTTGGGGCTGATATTTCAATCACTGGAACCATTGTACTTGCCACTATAAGGCATTGGTGGAGTTACTGTGTGGTTTGCACAAGGAGGTAACAGAAACACACAAAGCCAGAGCTGACTCTGAAGTCTAGTACAAAGGCAGCCATACCATGAGCCATCCCGAGGGCTCCAGACACACCAGGCTGCAGCCTCTGACCCCACAGTTTGGGGCTGATATTTCAATCACTGGAACCATGGTACTTGCCACTATAAGGCATTGGTGGAGTTACTGTGTGGTAGGGGCTAGGAATAGGTACATTTAAAGTATAAAGAATGTTCAAAGAAATGATGGGGTCTGATCCATGTTATCAAGTAGGAAAAGAAGAGGGAGGCAGGTACAGGACACTGCAGACACATCTTCCTTCTGCTTTTCAGACTGGCAAGAGAAAGGCAGGTGGCGGGGCTGCTGTTTCCTGCCGACAACACATGCAAACCAGGAGCAGCACAGCGTTCCACTGGAGGGCACCCTGTGTTCTGCCTACTCACCCAGTGATGGACGTGTCCACTTCGTGCACCAGGGGCATCATCAGCGTGAGAGTGTTGTCATGTAGGGCTTCAGAGCGTTCCACGTTGCCACTGTGTGGGGAGAAAAGAATGAAGAAACACTGGCCAACACTAGCCATCCAGAAGTAGGCTGCCTGTCCTATGTTGGACCTCAATCTCACTGTTCTCCAGACCCTTCCTTTTTGTCCCCATTCTGTTTGTGGCAGAGACCCCCTGCACAGAGGCACACTTTTGGTCGTGTTCCATGTATGAAGACACGGGGGTAAATCGTGTATCTGGCAGGTAACTCCAGGAAACACTAGCAGGGAATGGAAAAGGAAAAGGGAAGAAGCCACAGAGGCCTGCCACTCAGATGGTCAGTGCTGGAGGCAGCTGGCGGCTTTGGGAAGCAGAACCCGTACCTTGGCAGACCCACCTGTGGGCATTAGAGCTGGGTCTTTATTCTCAACTCCTAAGGGCTGCTGTGGTGGAAGCAAGAGAGGGCACAAATTCTCTGGCACTTCCCTGTCACATGGATGAGTGGGCTCTGACCAGAGAAAACCTTAGCAGGGTGGCAGAAAGCAAGACTTAAACACTGCCAGTGAGTGTGCTGTGAGGGCCACAGGTGGATCCCTGTTGTTGAGGGGTCTCAGGTAGAAATCTGTTGTTAAGAGGGGTCACAAGTGGATCCCTGTTGTTAAAAGGGGTCACAGGTGGATCCCTGTTGCTATGGGTGGAGCCGATGTCTTACGTGCTGCCTCTGGAAGTGCTTACTCCATAAACAGTATTCTAGTTTCTTTCCTGTTAGTGTGATAGAAACGCTGACCAAAAGCAACTTAGGGAAGGAAAGGGTGTATTTTTCTTACAACTCCATATTACAGTCCATTATTGTGGGGAAGTCAAGGTAGGAACTCAAGCAGCTAGGCACATCACATCCATAGTCAAGAGCTGAGAGACAAATGTACCCACGTTACCTGTTTGCTATTGTCCAGCTTCCTCCTGTCCTATACACAGTTCAGGACCCTCTGCCTACAGGATAGTATGTCCACAATGGACTGGGTCTTCTCACATCAATCAACAATCAACACAGTCCTCCACACACATGCCCCAGCCCAATCCGGTCTAGGCAGGCCTTCAACTGAGACTCTTCTCAGGCGGTTCTAGCTTGTCAAAAATTTCCATTTATAAATAACCAACACAAATAGTGACCAGTGAGGCCAGGACATGGGGCTTTGTGAACATCAATATCTGTTTGTTATCTAGAGGGCTTACCCATCACTCATGCATGGACAGTCAAGCATAACAGAGAAGCCTTGGTCAGCCCTGCCAGGATAAATATACCGGGCACACTTGCTACAGACTTGGCTGCAGCATCTCTCACCAAGGCATCCTTGGGGAGAAAGCATAGAGGAAGATTCTTGTGACCCCCCACGGGCAGAGAGATTACTAGAGTAGATGGGGGGAGCAGTTCAGATAGCTTACAGTGCTGCTTCAAGCCAGAGGGAGCTGAGCTTCTAGTCAGCTCAGTGAAACCAACAAACCATCACTCTACCTACTGTGATTCCTTTTCCTGATCTCAGACTGAAAAGTAAGGAAGAGGAGGAAAGGAAGGAATAGGAGGAAGAGAGGGATGGTCTAGCTTCCCTTCATTAATTCATTAAACCTCAATCAGATTTACAGTGCCTACACCACATAAGTAACTGCCATGAGACCAGGCATAGCTGTTGGGTGTGTGTTGCTAAATTTGTGGAGCACTGCTGGCTGGCTCCACCACATGGAATGAATGGGGGATTCCAGCCAAAGGTCAAGTCTATGTTCTAGGTATAGAACCCAAGAGCCCTCAGACCTGCTGAGGTTTGGGCACTGTCTGGCCTACCTAGTAACTTAGACATGGTTCCTGAACACTGCTAAGTTCCAGTCTGCTCCTTGCCCTCCCTCCGCCCCACTGTCTTCCTCTCTCACCCAGCAAGTGCTGAATGGCAATAGTACTAAAATAGCCCTCACATCCCGTCTCTCGCCTTTTGTTCTGAAACAATGGTGTTCTGCAACTCTGACCCTGCAGGGCCACCATAACTGTCCCTGGCTCCACATCTGTCTTCCTGTATATGGGATGACATCAGTCCCTCACAGGGCAGCCATGATGCATGGCAGTGGGGACGGTGCCCATACTGCTAGATTTCTTGCATGGCTTTCCTAGGGGTAATCAAAGCCTTGGAATTACTATCATAGGCAGCCCAGAGGTGACTTCCCTGTCAATGTGGATGGTACCACCCTGGCGTCATACCCTCCCTAACCACAGCATCCTTCTAGGCTGGAGTATAATTGACTCTTGATGGAAGAGTCACCCCTTGCCCTGTCATCTATCCAGCCACCTGCAGCTGCTGGCAGCCTGCGCCAAACAACAGTTTTATCTGTCATTGAGTAACGGCTCCAGAATGAGCCAAGTTGAAAAGTTAAGATAAAGAGACCAAACATCAAACAGCTTCTTGTTATCCCACAAGCGTCATGTGCTATGACTTTTCCAGTGGGCTGCCAAACTAGGCTGCTGGCTGTGGAGATGAGGGGTCATGAGACGCTGTTTAGTCTCAGTTTGATGCCCTCTGAAAGCTACAAGTAGGCAGGAGGCCTTCAAAGGGTGATGATGGAGGAAAAAGAATGACTGATATTTTAACTGTGGCTTTTGAGATAAGAAACTTTAAGGATCTGTCTGTTGTAGCTGGGAGTCAAGTGTTGGGAGGACCTTCTGAGGCAGGAGACTAGCTTTTCATAAAATCCCCAAGGAAACAAGTACACAGAATGTTCTAGTGTATGTTTAAAAGATAACATGATCTCCTTCACTTATGATTCAAGGGATTAACTGGAAATTCTTATATTATTAAGCTACAGATATTAGGCCTCTCCTGACACAGTGTAACTATATTACTGTTTATAAGGGGATATTCTTTAGTGGGTAATGGGTATTTTAAAGTATGACCTACATTTAGTACTACAACTGGTAAATAGTAGGTACATAATAGGAGTTTATTGATCAATAATGCATCCAGTAGAATAAGGGACTATGTAGATAGGGGCTCTGGGCCTTGACTGTTCATCAGAATCATTGAGCCTTTCCCCCAAATCCTAATGCCCAGCTCTCATCTCAGACTAATTAGATTAGAATCTCAGGGGTGGTGTGGGGCTGGATTAGACATCAGTAGATTTTACAGCTCCCCAGGTGTTTCAACACTGTGCTTTCAAGCCCAGTGTACCACAGGCCAACGGACATGTCATTCTAACAGAGGAAACGTGCACCATTATGCTTCTGTCCCCTGTCCCCTTTGACCTCTCTGGGGTGAGGTTGGAGATAGGTAGTATCCTCTTTTTGACAAGGAAATCCTTTCCATGTCCTTGCTGTGCCAGGTGTTGAAGGACAGACAGAGTACATTAGTGGGTTTGCCTAACAATGCTGCATTTTCTGTGGCTCTAAGAAACAGCAGTGGAATGAGAATTTTCAGGTTTCAATGGGCATCTCTGTGGCTGAGTTGTTGCAGTGTGTCAGCATGATGGTTAGTGTGACACAACCTAGAATCACCTGGGAAGTGACTTTACCTGGGAAGTCTCAGTGAGGGATTGCCTACCTTGGGTTGACCTATGGGTATGTCTGTGGAGAGTTGTCTTGGAATTAATTGAGGTGGAGAAAAACATTGTGGGTGACACCATTCCCTAGGCAGAACTATACAAGGGTGGAGAAACTGAGCTGAGCACAACCAACCAAGCAAGCATGTATCCATTCTCTCTCTGCACCTGCCTGTGGATGTGACTGGCTGCTTTAAGCTCCTGCCAATGTGATGTCCCTGATATGATGGGTTGTAACCTGGAATTGAAGCCAAATAAACCTATTTCTCCCATAAGTTGCTTTTTGTCAGGGTATTTATCACGGCAACAGAATGAAACTAGGACAGTGGCTCCTCATGACTGTCAAAATTTGATATGGACTCTCTTGAGGCTACTTTCGCCTCCATGGCTCAAATCAGGCCCCTCTTGCAGCCCCATTACCTACTACCCTGTACGCTCCCCACTTTCCATGAATGCCTTCCCACTCCTGTGCTCACTTCCCACATGGCTGTGGCACAGCAGGTACACTGTGGACACTCTTCTTGCTAGATTTTACACTTCAGCATGAAAACAGACACCCAAACGTCCCTAACCTCAAAGCCCTTCTGGATTCTAGCAATGGGAATGAAATCTGCCCTCTTTACACCTTTTGTGTTTTCCCATTAGACAATATTGATGTTTCATGTGTACTTGAAAATAAGGTGAATAGAAAATAACCATTTGTGGGCTAGTGAAAAAATGGCTAGAAAGATATTCTTGAAAAAAATGGACATATTTTGGAATATGAACTGTGGATGAGTATAAATGCTAAATTTCCCAAATTTGATAGATGAATTGTGACCTTGTTCTTGGGAAATGCACAGGGAATGTCTCTGGGTCAATGGGCATGGTTTATACAACTTGTTTTTAGATGTTCAAGAAAAAAAATCATATATAGAAAGAACGTTAAACCAATGAGGTGAAGGGTAAACACTAGGTGAATCTGGGTAAAGGCTACACATGAGTTTCTTGTGCTGTTCTTGCAACACATATTCAACTAGAAATTTTAAGTTATTATTTTAATTTTTAATTATGTGTATGTCTGTATGTGAGTTTGTGCATGTGAGTGCAGTGCCTGTGGAGGCCACAAGAGGGCGTTGGATCTCCTGGAGCTGGAGCTACAGCAGTTGTGAGCTATCCAATGTGGGTGTTTGGAACTGAACTTGGGTCTTCTGCAAGGGCTGTATGTGCTCTAAATGCTAAACCATCTCTCAGCCCTCCAAGTAGAAATTTAAATGAACATGTTGTCTTGGGTATCTAACCACCCTTTTCCCCCATCAGAGCTTGTCTGTCCATTATTTACCAGCCTAAATGGCACTTCCTTCATTTGATTTGCCAGCCAGCCAATACCTATATGTTGCTTTGAGGTATATATGGATTCTGGTTCAAGGAGAAATCTTATAAACTCCCCAAAAAACAGCTGAGGCACTCACTCACAGCTATACATTTCTGAGGGGAGAAGTTACCACCTCACCATCTCCTTCTCCATCTGTCTACTCAGTTTCTAGGACAAGCTTGGTCTCAAGGCACATCATGTGGGTGCTTCTGCTAGCTGGCTTCACCAGGCCTTCGGGCTGCAGGTGGCTTTATCTACTGTATCAAATGATTCAGTGGCATGTCCCTAAGAAACAGGTGACCAAGCCTGACAATGCACAGAAGACATCTGTTTGGGAAACATGGCCAATGACCATGGATGAAACTTCACCTCTTTGAGCCTGTCTCCCCTCAGCTGTAGAATCATTCCTCTCTGACTAGATGATTCTCAGCCCTCTAGCTCAGTCAGAAGTGGTGACTAGGTTTGACGATTAGGCCTAACTGGATTTGGTTGTCAAGTGACAAGATTTAGAATCACCTAGGAGACATGTCTGCGAAAGTATTTCCAGGAAAGATTAACTATGGTAGTACCAGCCTCCCTGTTTTCCACTGATCTGCTGAGATGTGGGCAAGCAGCTGCCTCACATTTCTGCACCACAGAGTCACCTGATGCTGTGACTTCCTGGCCATGATGGGCTGTATCCTCTCAAACTGTGAGTCAACATAAATCTTTCCTTAAGTTGCTTCTTGTCAGGTCACAGTGATGAGAAAAGTAACCACCTTTCGGTTGACTCACCTGGGAAGAGGGAACCCCAACTGAGAAATGAGATTGGCCTGTGGGCATGTCTGTGGAATATTTTAACTGCTGGTTGATGTAGGAGGCCCAACCCACTGTGGGCGGTGCCATCCCTGGGCGGGTGGGCCTGGGCTGTATAACAGAAGCAACTGAGCAAGCCAGCAAGGCAGCATTCCTCTGTGGTCTCGGCTATGAGCTGTAAGGTGAAACAAACTCTTTCCTCCCCACGTTGGTTTTGGTCAGAGTGTTTTATCACATCAGTGGAGAAACAAAAGGACAATACTGACTAACCAGGCAAAGCAGAACCAGACAACCACCCATCCCCGAGGGATCTGATCCTACCCAGTGAGGTGGGGCTTTATTATGGACTGTTTCCTTCTCTGTATCCTGGGGATGATCAAGGCACATCCTTTCCTGGTCCCATACATTTTTTTTTGTCTTTGCAAAAATCTCCTTAAGGCTTCCTTACCTCTGAGCAGAAACAATGAAGCTGAGAACATCCTCCTCCCCAGACAGGTGGCTGGTATCAAAGATTACGCTGAATTCATACTACAGAAAAAGAAAGAAATCAACGTTTGGCAGTGGCAAGCGTTCCATACTTAAACTGCGTTCTAGAATATTCTGCAGTTTATGATCTCTAGATGTTAATCTGTATAGAAAATGCTATTTTTTAAATTTTTATTAATTCAAAAAATTTATTGTATGGGTATGGGTATTTTGCCTGCCTATATGTAAGTGTACTCATACAATAGCTGTGGAGCCCAAAAGAGGATATTGGATCCCCTGGAACTAAAGTAACAGATGGTTATTAGCTGCCATGTGGGTGCTGGGAACCAAGCCTAGGTCCTTTGCAAGAACAGTTAATGCTCTTTACTACTGAGCCATTTCTCCAGCCCTGAAGGTGTTATTTATTTATTTTTTTAGTGTGTATCTTTCTAATTGCCAAGTCAGAGGCACAGCTTCCACAACAAAACCAGTCCTGGTGCACACTTTAGTGAGAGGCACGCTGTCCTTTTCAACCACTGAGCTTCCCTTTAGGAAGTGGTATATTGGAATTCGTAAACCGGGGCTTTCTAAATTTCACTTTCATCATCTTTCCAATTTTTGCCAAATTTGTATATCATATGAACTGTGATATTTGCTTCATATTTTGTTGCCCCTTTCCTTTAAATACATTATTTATTTTTGTGTTGGCCTATACAATGTGTGTATGTATTTGTGTGTGTGAATATGCTTGCCATATTGTGCATGTGGAGGCCAGAGAATAACCTTGGGCGTTGGTCCTCACCTTCTGCCTCATTTGGGGCAGGTGGCTTGTTTTTTCTTTGATGCATATTCCAGGCTGGCTGGCCTATGAACTTCCTGGGATTCTCCTGTGTCTACCCACAACCTCCCCATAGCTGCTTTGAGTTTACAGACCTGTGCTACTGTGTTCAGCCTTTACATGGGTCCTGGGGATTCAGACAGATCTTCATCTTGCATAGTAAGGGCGTTACCTACTGAGCCATCTCTCTAGCCCTTTTTTTGCTTTTTTTTTTCTTGAGGCAAGGTCTCACTATGCAGCCTAGACTGGCCTTAAACTCTTGATCCTCCTGCCTAAGCTTCCCAAGAGCTGGGATTACAGGTTGTGCCACCAATCTGACCTTAAAGATGATTTTTAAAAAATTAAAAGATGTATTTTTATTTATATGTATCTGTACATGTTCATGTATGGTATATGCATGTGAGTGCAGATGCACACATTTCATCATTTGAGGACTCTCTGTTTAGTTCCTTGCTCCAACTTTTAATTAAGTTGGTTTTTTTTTTTTTTTTTGAATTTTTTGAACAGTCTAGATACCTTCTGTGGGATGTATTGCTGGTAAAGACTTTTTTCCCATGTATGGTATATGCATGTGAGTGCAGATGCACACATTTCATCATTTGAGGACTCTCTGTTTAGTTCCTTGCTCCAACTTTTAATTAAGTTGGTTTTTTTTTTTTTTGAATTCTTTGAACAGTCTAGATACCTTCTGTGAGATGTATAGCTGGTAAAGACTTTTTTCCCATTCTGTAGGCCTGCCTCTTCACTTGAATGATGGTGTCCTTTGCCATAGATGTTTTTAGTTTCATGAGGTCCCATATGTCAATTATTGGTGCTAATGCCTGTGCTATCAGGGTCCTGTTCAGAAAGTCTTTTTCTGTGCCTATAAGTTCCAGTGTATTCCCTACTTTCTCCTGTATCAGATTCAGGGTATCAGGTTTTATGCTGAGGTCCTTAATTCATTTTGAGCTGAGTTTTGTGCAGGGTGAGAGATAGGGATCTAGTTTCATTCTTCATGTGCAGCTATCCAGTTTGACGAGCACTATTTGTTGAACATATCTCTTCTCCAATGTGTGTTTTGGTCCCCTTTGTAAAAAAATCAAGTAGCTGTAAGTATGTAGGCTTAAATTTGGGTCCTTAATTAGATTCCATTCATCAATATATCTGTCTTTATGCCAGCACCATATTGTTTTTATTACTTTAGCTCTGTGGTATAAATTGAAATTAGGGATGGTGGTGATACAGAGTCTAGAAGAGGGTGTTGGATCACCTGGAGCTGGAGTTACAGGCAGTTGTAAGCTGCCTGATATGGGTGCTAAGACTTGAACTTGGGTCCTCTGGAAGAACGGGAAGTGCTGTTAACTATCTCTCCAGCCCCAGAAGAGAGGCTTCCCTGGCTGGGAATTGAACCCACGATGCGGTGGTGAGAGAGCCAAATCCTATCTACTCGAGTACCTAACTATTCAAGATTATTTTAAAAGAACAGTTTATGTCGTTGTCATAGGTGGGAATTCAGAATCACTTGCCACAAAGAAAAGGTAGTCATAAAAATTAATACAACGAAAACAAAACAATGGGCTGTGGCCTGTACTCTGCTAGATAAGTGTGATCCAGTTCCTAAAAGTTGCCGTTTCTTGAGGTTTCCCTTCTTCTCAGGTGACTAAGGACAAAAGAAGGAGCAGAGCCAGAGGAAGGCTGAGGCACCATGGGCATGGTGGCCCCTAGGGCTCAGAACAGGCCCATGGTAGATTTGGTGGATTTGCTAAGAAATGAGCAAATCTTGGTTCTCACTAAATCATTCTGGCCACTGGTTTATAAAACAGCTTGAGAAGAAAAATCTTGAGAGCTTAAGATCTTAAAATGATCCGACTCTATGACTTAGGCAGGAGAGAGGAAGCTTTAATGAAGGGTGAAACTTTCTATGTCTCTCTCTCTTTCTCTTTCTCTTTCTCTTTCTCTCTCTTTCTCTCTTTCTTTCTTTTGAGTGGACCAAAGAGTATAAGATTTCCTTGCCATCACAGGGAAAACAGCTTCCAAGAAGAAGATAGCCCTGGCCTCTGTACTTTAGTTTGCTTCCCCAAATCAATCTTGTAGCCATCTTTCTCTTAACCATGGCACATACTAGAATGTCTGGGTATGTTATATAGTATAGTATTATTGTTTGAGCTTAGGAAATCTGTCTCCTTATGAATACCAAATTGACTGAAATATCTTTTACTGTTAAAAAAAAATGAAGTAGAATACGGTTATTTATGATTGAGAATTTTTTTAGGGAATCTCCAGAAAATTGTGAGTCCCCAAGGGAGTAACAGAGCCAGGACTATGGGTCACTAGCCCAGACCACATCCTTTCCTGTGCTATGCTCGGGGACTCACAGTGGTATGGAATGTACTGGAAGAAAACATTTCAGGAAGGTCAATCAAATGCCACTTGTCAAAGAACAAAGGAGTTTGTGGTATCTTCCACACTTGAAGTTCACATGAATTAAAGAGAATGATCATGTAACCACATTCCCTCAGCAGTAGACCAACAGTAACAGACACATGGCAGGGTTCCAGTAGTCACCCAGCCACTGTGGAAGGTAGGGGTAGGTGGGTGGGGCCTTGGAGTGACAGTTGCAGTCAGATGGGAAGAACTCGGGGGTTGTAGCCAAGGAAGCACCTTATTTCCCAAGGGCCTTACCTTTGACTTTGACCGCATGAAGGGAAACCCCACGCTGCATTTGAGGAAGTCTGATTCTAGAAGCTCACAGGAAATGCCCATTTCCTCCTGAAAGAAAGAACCAACATATGGGTGGGCTGCATGGAAGCCAGGGGTGTGGGAGTAGCCTTGGAGCCTTGGTGAGGACATCAGGTCCTTCAGAGCAGTTCTCAGACAGCTATGGTGGGCTAGAAGCCCAAGCCAAGCCTCAAGTTCTCCTCTGGCTGTTCACTTTCCCAGGGTTCCCTGGGAAGACAGGCACAGAGGACAAAACCACTGTTTAATTTAAACTAATGTTTTGGGTCTGTAATGGTTGATCTTCACTGTGAACTGATTTGGAATCCTCTAGTAGAACACCTCTAGGTGTATCTGGGAGGGTGTTTTCAGAAAGGTATAACTGAGGAAAGAAGATCCATCCTGAATGTGGGCAGCACCATCCCACAGGCTAGGGATACAGACTGAATAAAAAGGGAAAGGGGGGGTCAAAGAGATGGCTCAGCAGGTAGAGGTGCTTATTGCTCAGCTTAGTGACCCAAGTCCAGTCCTGGGACCCACATGATAGAAAGAAAGAATCAACTACCAAAAGTTTTCCTTTGACCTCCACACATGTGTCTGTGGCCCACACACCCACACAACCCCCTGTAATAAATAAATGTAATAAAAGTAATGTTTAAAAATGGAAAAAGGAAGAAGCAAGCAGAACACCAGCACTCCTCTCTCTCTGCTTCCTGGTTGGAGATACCATGTGACTAGATGCCTCTAGCTCCTGCCTCCATGTCTTCCTGGGGAGCCAAAGTGAACCCTTCTTTCCATATATTGGTTTTGCCAAGTATTTTGTCATAGCAATGAGAAAAGCAAGATAGAGACCAAACCTGGGCTGGTCTGGCAAACGGGACTGAGCACGGGTGAGCCGGAAGCCTCCTGAAGTTTGGAATAAAAGGCAACATAACCACCTTTCCATCTCCTTTTTCCTAATTCTGCCTTTCAAGATCTTCGTAGTGGAGTTGGAGAGATGACTCAGTAGTTAAGAGCACTGATTGCTCTTGCAGAGGACCCAGGTTCAGTTCCTAGGACCCACATGGTGGCTAACAACCATTAGTAACTCTTAGCTCCAGGGGATTTGATGCCCTCTTCTGACCTCCACAGGCATTGCATGATATAGGTGCACTTACCTGCATGCAGGCAATATGTTCATACACATAAACTAAAAATAATAAATAAAGGATTTTTTTAAAGATCTTGCTAGATCAAGAAGGACAAATGAGAAGAAAACCACAACAAGGAAGGAGGTTTCTTTCTACAGCCTGAGCTATAAGTCTTCCTAGGATACAGGTGGGTGCCTGCGTGAGGGGAGGTGAATTTCCAGTGTAACTAAATGGCCTTGTGGAGATGTACAAACAGTGACTTGAGAGAACCAGGTAGAGACTTCAGGGAGCTACTCTTGTCTCACCAGGCCCAGAGTTTCCGACCACGGTCAGAAGTATACGCAGCTCTCATAACTCACAGGACCTCTCTGCAAATCAGCACTTCCAAGGTGAGACACTGCATTGAGAGACTTTGGAGAAAGATAGGTTCAACATAGAGCTAACATTTGAGAGTCAACTCCGTGTCCCAAATTAGGACACTGAAATTCACTGAAGTCATGTGACTTCCCCAAGGTCATTCAGCTGATAGGGGCAAAGCCACAAAGAATTTGGATCAGATTTGGCAAGCTCTGAAAGCTCTCTCCTTCCTCCTTTAGTGGTTTAGAACATCTAGAGACTGAGCGTTGCAGAGGACAATGACAGCCAAAACAAAACAAACCAAGGACTCGTGCACAGAAATGCTACCCAAGCTCCTTCTACCCAATTTTGATTTCTCCTGAGCAAGGTCTCATGTATCCCAGACTGGCTTCAAACTCACTATGTAGCTGAGGCTGTCCTTCTACTCCTGCTTCTGATCCTCCTGCTTCTACCTCCTGAGTGCTGGGATTACCAGCATGTGACACTACAGCCAGCTCTTCCATACAATTTTCAAGATCTGCATTTCAGACCAGAACATTATATCTCTGCAGAGTGATAAACTTAATTTTTCCTTTTATTACATTCCACTAAATTAAAAATATGAGTGTTTCCCAATACATCAATGTAAATTCTATATATATTCTACACAGAAATAGAAACAACAAAATATGAGCTTAGTTGTAAACCACCCAATATGGTCACTGTGAACCTAACTTGAGTCCTCTGCAAGAGCAACACGTTCTCTTAACTGCTGAGTCATTTCTTGGTGAATTTTGAAAAACCCAAAGTAGCGATAACCAAAGACAGGTAGTACAAGAGCCAAGCCTATAGCTGGCTTCTTCTTGGTGTGCTCCTGGGATGAATGTAGAGGAAGGGGTAGCACGATGAAGTCTCTAATCCCATCCTCTCTCTCCCATTGGAGCTGTGGTTTTTAAGGAGGCACGGGGACAGCAGAATGGACTTTGTCAGTACCAGGACTCCCATGTGGCTGGTACTGGCGCTCTCTCAACTCCTTTCCTAGACAGGTTCAAAGTTCCCATCTTCACAGAGGTCTCTTAGCCTGGGAGGTTGTAATGCCCTCCCCAGAAAGCATCCCACATCCCAGAAGTGACATGGGGAACAGGAAATTCAGATGGGAGCAGCTCTGTTGTGTAAACCAAGTTCCAGAATCCCAGGGGGCCTGGTAGAAGAACATGACACTTGAGACCTCATCCTTGTCTGACTCCTTTCTCAGCCCCCTTCTATCTCCTTCACACCTCTTCTCCCAAGGTCATCCCCCCAATAAATCACATGCACAAGAATCTCCACCTCAGAGATGACTTTCAGGAAGCCCAATCTCAGTAAACTGCTGCCCCAAATGAGGCTCTGGCACTAAGAGCCACTGGGGAGGGCAGGACATTTGCTCCCAGATGGAGTGAGGTAATGAAGGAGGAACAGGTAGAATACTCTTACGTTTATTAATTTTCCATACTAAGAAAAAGTGTCCCAATTTCAGTATATAAAATCCACATTGCACCCACTGTTAGGGGAATGCCTTATTCAGAGTAACACCAGAGCCTTCATGTTTTCCCGATTGGAGGACATGTCCGAGGCATAACTTTAAAGAACGGGTTATTTAAGCACTTTTTAGATTAAACATTTTCAAATTCAATTGATTTTTGGTTGAGAAAGTCTGGTCTCAAACTTATAATCCTGCCTCAGCCTCCCAAGTGCTAGCAGGTGGGTATCACCTTGTTTGAATCTCAAATTCAGTTTAAAAAATCAATTCAATTAAAAAATATCTGGGGCTGGAGAGATGGCTCCACGGTTAAGGGTACTTGCTGCTCTTGCAGAGGATTCAGGTTCGGTTGCCAGCTGTGACTCACAACCATCTGTAACTCCAGTTCCAGGGGACCTGATGCCCTCTGCTAGCCTCCATAGGTTCTACATGCATGTGATACACATACATGCTGGCAAAGCACTCATACACATAAAGTTAAAATTAAAAAAAAAAATTGAGATGACATGGCTCTAAACTTGGCTGTCTCCTGACTTTCCCAGATGTATATGTATGTACCACATGCATGCAATGCCTGTGGAAGCCAGAAGAGGGCACTGGATCCCCAGAACAGGAGTTACAGACAGTTGTAGTTGCCATGTGGGTGCTAGGAACCAAACCTAGGTCCTCTGCAAGAAACAAAAAGCCCTGTGGGTAACCTGGTCGAACCTCTACATAGTCTACAGAAGATTTGCACCTGGCAGAGATATATCAGTCACCTGTTAGAGAAGTCACAATAATCTTGCACAGTAAGACTTTAATATGTTTTAGAGACAATGATTTAAGAAATAAAAGTAAAGAGAAGCTCTTGGGAAAAATAAGCCATTATAAAAAAATAATTCTTTTCTAATTGTACTTTAAAAAGATTGGACCAGTGAAATGGCTTAGTAGGTAAAGGTACTTGCTTCCAAGCCTGATGACCTGAGTCCAGTTTCCAGGCTCAGGGTGGTGGAAGCGGAGAGCTGACTCCCACAGGTTGTCCTCTGACTTCCACATGGGTACCATACACAGGCTTGGAGGAGAGGGGTCTGATAGTGGGAAAAACTCCTATGCAGTAGCTGTCTGTCCAGCACCCTGTTCCTTCTTTTGTTTCAGAAACCAGAATACAGCCATTTTAAAAGAGGCTAAAAAAATGGACAAGCTTTTGCTTTGGGTCTAAGATATCATTGAAAGTCACAATTACCAAGTGCTATCAAAGGTAGAATAAAACCCATTTTCACATTTTCATTTGTTTTGCAAGCAAAGTCCCAATCAAAACTTTGTAAAACATTTTGACTACGAAATCTTGGGTCCTACTTCAGGCCTGCCTGGCCGCCTCCCCATTCCTATATTTTCTTGGCTAGCCAGGGCAGCTAACACCATAAAACGCTATCAAGGTTTCTCCTTGGAGATCACAGGTAATTCAATAGAAATGTCCTAGCAACACACATTACTGTTGAGATAGGAAACCATCAATTAACACTTAAAAGAAATGTAATGATGAAAAGCACACTTGATCTGTGCACGTGTGCTTCTGTACTCTGTGTCTGGAAGTCAGTAGTAGCCCCTAGTTTACATTTATTAAATGAACGGGCCTTGGCTTGTGGAGAACTCAAGTGAGGGAACCACAAGAGGCAGCTCATTTGCTGGTCTGCCTGGCATAAGAGATGCTTGCCTTGGCAAAGTCCTTCTTATTTCCAGACATACCTTGGCTGCCCCAGCCCTGGGAACATGGCCAGGAGAGCCCAGCTCCAGACCTCTATGTAACAACATGGGGTGGTTGGAAGAATCTGATAATGAAGCCAGTGAAGCTCTCTGGCCTTCAGCCTCCTTCATCCCATTCACATTTGATTTCAGTCTAGAGAAGGCCTTGCTGGACCACTATTGCAGCATTCTTTGGAAACAGCACATCATTGGGTTCCACGGTGGGCTAACGCTCAGAGTCAGGTTGAGCTTGGTGCTTTGATTTTCCACTTTCTGGCTCCCACATGTGTTTGTAAAACTGAAGATGACCCTCAAGACTCTATGTCTGGCTGTCAGTTTGGTGTTCC